TGCCAGTGCCTTGCCCAGGGCCACCCAGCATGAGCTACACAGCAAACCGTAGTTGGCTGCTACTTGTGCTGGGCTTGGCGTTGCCCAGGAGAGGCCAAGCTATGCACCAATGCAGGCTGCTGCTAGTGCCAGGCCTGGGGCCACTTAACAAGCCATATGGGGCACGCTGCTGCTTGTTTGAGAGATTTTAGGAAAGCCTTAAGCGTGAGGCTCAAGAGTCCACTTGCATAGAAAAGCCCCTGGAAATGGCCTGGATGAGCTGCAGGTGGGGAGGGGCGGGGCTTTCGGGAATCATGGGGCGGGGCCAAAGGTGTGAGTCAGGTGCTAGCAATTCAAATATGGTGCCTGCCTGCCGGCTGTCTGTGGGGGGAGGACTCACCAAAGGAGCAATGGCCTCTGCCAGCCCCTCTGCCTGGGAGGAAGCTGCCCCTCCACCTCTTGTCCCAATTTCAGGCAGGTTAGTTCCTCCCCGAGTGCCCCAGGTCCTTTCCAGCTGCTGCCTGGCGCTGGGCTCAGAGGGAGCGCGTCTGAGTGAGTCCGTGCCGGGCCCTTTAAGAGGAGCTGCCTGGGACTCCAGCACCCTCCAGGCCCCTCAGTGACAGTCCCCACTGATTTTCACAACCCCAAGTAGTGGGGACTTCTCTTCCTGGCCCTGAATCCCTGGGCTGGGACCCCTCCCTCCTCCGGGAAACCTCTGCGCTGCCAAGATTCCCTCCCGGGTTTACCCTGCAGCACCAGGTGTGGGCCCACGGCTGCGTCTCAGATTCAGCCCTGATCCGCCCGCGTCCCCGCCCCTCCTCCTGGTCTCAATGCTCCTTCAGCTCCCTGGTTGTGGGGCTTCTGTGCAGCCAGATTTCAGGAGGTTCTGAGTGATGGTGGTTCTGTATTTTAGTTGTAATTTTGATGTGGTTGCGGGAGGCGGCGGGTACAGATGCTACCTGCGCCGCCATCTTGTTTCCTCCCAATAAAAATATATATTTTTTAAAAATTTTAATTTGATGTAGTCCCATTTGTTTATTTTTTTTCTTTTGTTTCCCTCTCTAGAGGAGATATATGAGAAACAATATCGCTATGTGAAATGTCCGAGATTTTACTGCCTATGTTTCCTTCTAGGATTTTTATGGTTTTGAGTGTTACAATTAGATCTTTAATCCCTTTTTAGTTTATTCTTGTGCATGGTGTAAGAAGGTGTTCTTTTTTTTTTTTTTTCTTCCACCTATCTGTCCAATTTTCCCAACACCGCTTACTGAATAGACTGTCTTTACCCCATTGTATGCTTTTGCCTCCTTTGTCAAATATTAATTAACCATAAAGGTGTGGATTTATTTCTGGGCTCTCTATCCTGTTCCAGTGATCTATATGTCTGTTTTTATGCCAGTTTCACCCTTTATTAAAAAATTTAAAACTTAGAAATTGTTTATTTCTAGAATTTTCCAATTAATATTTTTGTCCATGGTTGACCACAGTTAACAAACCACAGAAAGTAAAACCACAGATAAAGGGTACTACTGTATATACCATATGATTCAATTGTTTTTATTTTTCAAAAACTTTTAATTTGTTTTTATTTATTTCAGAGAGAGGGAGAGATAGAAACATTGATCTACTGCTCCTGCATGCCCCCTACTGGGGATTAAGCCCAAAACCGGGGCATATGCCCTGACTGG